ATTAAATAATTTACTTTTTCTCCTTCCATGTTTAGGCATAAAACTGGACACTTTAAATTGTTTAAATAGTATTATAATTTTAGTGCTGACCACTTAACACTTTTTGATCATTTATAAATTACTATTGTTTATAAACTACTTTAAGGTTTATTAGAACTTTTTATTACTATTTTATGTCTTCGTTTTTGAATTTTGTTTCAGTTTAGGGTAATTCAGGCATAAAATTACCTACTTAGCAACCTTTATTTTATTATTCTTTAATATTTATTATTATCTTGAATCAGTCCCTTAAACATACTTTCTGCATTAAAACATAAAACATACTGCTGTGTGTTTGTACTTCTGCTTGTACGTTTATTATATTTGTTGATATGTCAACTTTATTTATTAATTGATTAATTGTAATTGATTAATTGTATTACTAAATTAATAATTGAATTTAGCCATTTTTACCAATACATTTATATGTTTTCAAGTGTACAATTTCATTTAATATTCATGCTTTATTTTAGATATTTCAATTAATAAACAATTCATTGTTTTTTGGTACATGCCAGTATAACATTCCAATAAAAGCCAATGGATTTGGGTTTTGATTTGAAATGATTATTTCGAATAAAAAAAGTCATACACAAAACAAATCTTTAAACAAAATACATTTCAACATGGTCGAAATGGATCAGGATGAATCACAAGCTTATTATTTCCCCCACTTCATTAACACACACATCATTCGTCTATTAATTAATAACTTATTTTTTCTTTTACTTATTTTCTCTTTTTACATGAGACAAATTTTATGTAATGTAATGTAATGTAATGTGTATTTATATAGCGCATTTATTGTGTATGGCCATACACCCAAAGCGCTTTACAATCATGAGGGGGGGTCTCTCCACACCACCACCAGTGTGCAGCATCCACTTGGATGATGCGACGGCTGCCACAGGACAACGGCGCCAGTGCGCTCACCACACACCAGCTATTGGTGGAGTGGAGAGACAGTGATAGAGCCAATTCGGTGGAAGGGGATGATTGGGAGGCCATGATCATAAGGGCCGATAGAGGGACTTTGGCCAGGACACCGGGGTTACACCCCTGCTCTTTCACGAGAAGTGCCATGGGATTTTTAATGACCACAGAGAGTCAGGACCTCGGTTTAACGTCTCATCCAAAAGACGGCGCTCACTGACAGTGTAGTGTCCCCTTCACTTTTACTGGGGCATTAGGACTCACACAGACCACAGGTTGAGCGCCCCCTGCTGGCCTCACTAACACCACTTCCAACAGCAACCTAGTGTTCCCTAGCAGTCTCCCATCCAGGTACTAACCAGGCTCAGCCCTGCTTAGCTTCAGTGAGTAACCGGTCTTGGGCTGCAGGGTGACATGGCTGTGGAAAAGGGTGACATGCAGGGTGACATGGCAAAAGGAAAAATTTTATCCTTTTGGCATCTTTGACAAATGATATTTTTGATTCCATTTGTACATTTACTTTTTATAACATTTAGATTGAAGCTTTTGTTTTTAAGAAAGCTTTTAAGGCTGCATTAAAGAATGCATTAAATAACAATTAAAACTGCTTTCAACTGCTCATCTTCACCAGTACATTATCAGAAAATCATTCATCGGGACATCAAGCCTTCCAATTTGCTTTTGGGAGAAGATGGCCATGTAAAGATTGCTGATTTTGGTGTCAGTAACCAGTTTGAAGGAGCAGATGCGCTGCTGACCAGCACAGTGGGAACGCCGGCGTTTCTCGCCCCGGAAACCCTCTCAGAGACCCGGAAGAACTTCTCTGGAAAGGTCCAAACCTCTTTTCTCTAAGCGAGTCACTAATAGCCTGTCGAATTGAGATCTGTAATCAAGTTAATAACGTGTTTTACAGGCGCTGGACGTGTGGGCGATGGGAGTCACCTTGTACTGTTTCATCTTTGGAGTAGTACGTACTGTTTTGACATTCAAATTTGTCATAAAATACATTTCAGGTCAATGGTTTGCATTCAGTATGATTTTAAAGAAGTTTTAAGAATTTAAAGTCCACATGAACCAGAAACTGTGACTGTTTTTTTGTATTGTGATATAGTTTCTAGAGAAACAGCATATTAAATGAGAAAACAGTGGGCGTTGCTTGTTTTTTTTTCTACTGCAAGCTGATTGGATCTAGTAGTAGGCATTTCTTTCAGAAAGAGCGGGAAAACGGTTTTGGGAGAGTTATTACAACCTAACAGACACCTCCTCCTCAACATTTTTGATTGTTTTTGTCATAACGCTGTCAAAACTGACAGTTGGAAGGGTGTGGTTAAGTTTGTTTACCACATCCAATACCTCAGACAGGAAGTGCAGTTTTAGATTTCTAGAGCAAACATTTTGTTTTTCTTTATGACATGCACAGCTGAATTGTTTATGACAACACTAGCAATGTGAGCTAACAAAATCATGATGGTTAGTTGATACTTTAAAAGGTTTTAAAAATATTATGAAATATTATTCAAATATTATAAGAAATTAAATGTTTCTATATTGAATGTAGTTCAAAATGTAATTTATTCATGGGATTAAAAGCTGAATTTCTCCAGTTATAAAAATGATTCTAAAGCATCATTTCTCCAGTTTTCAGTCTCGCAGTCTTTGGAAAATCGTTAATATATGATCATTTGCTGTTCTTTTAAGATAAATTATTATTGGCACTCAATCCTTAATATTGACTGAATGATGTTTGCTCAATAATTATCAGATTTTTTTTCCCTGTGTGATACATTTTATTTATTAAAAGTCTTTGATAAAAAGTAAAATAAATACATAAATAAATTTGAAATAAAATGTTTTTATTATTAATATTATTGTTATTGTTATAAATGTCTTTCAAACTTGAGAAGTTTAATGTGTCCTTGAAGAATTAAAAGATATATGTTTTTAATGATTAACTAAAGATTTATTGATTCTTAAGCAAAATACAGAGTAGACTCTTGTCACATTTCTGGGTTTCTCAGTAATGGAATAGTTGGGAAAACTTATAGCACAATGAATGAGAGAATACAACAAATATACTTTTTTACAATCTTATTTGCTTAAATAATAAAATAAAAACTTCACGATGATGTTATAAAGACTTTCAGAAAAAGGAAAAAAAAATAGTGTGAGACTGATGACAGCAACCAGAGGAAAGAATAACATCAAATTTACTGTCCTACCCCATAGATGCTGCATTAGAAACACCTCGCACAAGCGGAAATTTCTTTTTTGTAATTTGAAGCAAAGATGATATAATACATGCATAAATACATATAAATGTTCATACATTTAAAAATAATCTAAACATTAAATATGTTCAAGGATTTAAGATGCTGATGACCGTTAAACGCCTCTTAACAGGCTTCATTTTATACAGTATTTCTGTACAGTATCTCTGTCCAAACAATCTAGTCCCCAACTAAGGCATTGCAGTCACACCTTGGCTATAATTAAATGCAGTTAAAACATATATACATATACAGTTCTTATAATCAGTTCTTAAAAACTTAATCCAATTTACACTCTCATAATATTTCTCATTCATTGTAATCTTTGACCCATTTCCAAATAGTTTAAATACTTGGACCATTTTTGATAGTATCAGTATACTTTGTTCATAAAGTTGCGTGGCGAATTCTACTGTCTGCGGCTGAAATGAAGAGGCCTCCTTTGATTTCCAGATCCTGAGAATTATAAAAGATACAGGTTGTATACCTTTGAATGGTATAAAGTTTCCAAAGAAATACATAAAATTCACGTGACACCAAAGACTGGAATAACGATGCCAAATATTCAGCTTTAAATCACAGGAATTGCAAATGAGAAAATAGTTATTTTAAATTGCAATAATATTTTATTATTTACAGTTTTAACTGTATTTTTGATCAAATAAAAACACTTTTTTTTTTAAATATTTTAAAAATCGTTCTTATTCTCCAAATTTTGACCAGCAGTGTCTTTAGCCCAAATGCTCTTTTGACTTCCTTTTTCCAGTGTCCGTTTATGGATGAGCGCATTTTGAGCCTCCATCAGAAGATCAAGACCCAACCGGTAGAGCTTCCAGAGAAGTGAGTATTTCTCCTGGAGTGGAAAGACTGTCCTCCTCTCTCTGTTCTGACACTGATAGTGCTTTTGTCCTCCTTCCCAGTGCGGAAATATCGGATGACTTAAAGGACCTGCTTTTTAAAATGTTGGACAAGAACCCTGAAACCAGAATCACCGTCCCACAAATTAAGGTCAGTGTGACTCTAGCTTACAAGTGATGTCATCCTTGAGTGCACATTTGATTTCAGAAGCTGTAATGTTGCCTGAAAACTGCGATTTAACAGAAAAAACAAGCATCTGGGGTTAGAAAGACTTTTAAAAGGTCATTTTCCTTCAGCTTAGTCCCTTATTTAACAGGGGTCCCCACAGTGGAATGAATCACCAACTTTTCCGGCAGATGTTTTTTACGCAGCTGATGCCCTTCCAGGCGCAGCCTAGTACTGGGAAAAACTCATACACAATGGCCAATTTAGTTCATCCAATTCACTTATAGTGCACATCTTTGGACTGTGGGGGAAACCAGAGCACCCAGAGGAAAACCACACAAACACCCATGCAAACTCCACACAGAAGTGCCATCTGGCCCAGCCGGGACTCAAACCAGTGACCTTCTAGCTGTGAGGAAACAGTGCAAACCACTGAGCCAACGTGCTGCCCATTTTAAAAGTTTTTGAACTAAATATCTTATACAAACCAAGACTGAATTTGTTTGAAAAGAAATATAATAATGTTGTGACATTTTTTCTGTCAAAACTGCAACATTTTTTTCTTTAAACTATGGCTTTATAGACTTTTGGGCAATTTTGAGTTCCTTAATTTTTGTCAGAATTGTTTGTCTTAAACTACCTGATAAAAGTGTTATCACCTATCTAAGTTTTAGGGACAACAAAAAATGGACTTTTAGTTGATCATTTGCTATTGGAAGTGGCTTATATGAAAGGCAAAGGCCTCTAGATTACGCTTATTTTACCAAAATAAAATATGACCATGCTTTGATTTTTAATTATTTAATTAGGACAGTAAGGTTTGACTTTGCTGAGTCGAAAGTCTTATCACTAAACAGAATTAATGTACAGTATAGAATATAAAGTCATGCTGCAGTGAAAAAAGGATTAATATTGTGTATGACTCCCATGAGCTTGGAAGACTGCATCCATACATCTCTGCAATGATTCAAATAACTTATTAATAAAGTCATCTGGAACAGCAAAGACAGCATTCTCGCAGGACTCCCAGAGTTCATCGAGATTCCCTGGATTAATCTTCAGTGCCTTCTCCTTCAGCTTACTCAATAATGTTCATATCTGGGGACTGAGTTGGACAATCCTGCAGCATCTTGACCTTCTTTGCTTTCAGGAACTGTGATGTAGAGGCTGAAGTATGAGAAGCGTTTTCCTACTGAAGAATTTGCCCTCTCCTGTGATTTGTAATGTAATGGGCACCACAAGTGTTTTGATATCTCAGACTGTTGATGTTGCCACCACTCTGCAGATCTTGCGCTCATCCCCATACTGAATGTAACCCCAAACCATGATTTTTCCTTGACCAAACATGAGATTTTTGTGAAAATCCTGGATCCATGCTAGTTCCAATAGGTCTTCTGCAGTGTTTATGATGCAGAACAGATTATTTATTGAAAAAAATATACCTTCAGTCACTTTTCAGATGATCAAGTCATTATTTGTTGCTCTTACAACTGGGATTGACAACAAGACTTTTGTCAGGTAGTGTATCGTATTTTTGAAATGGAAAGTATTTTATTGCATTTATAAATATCTTTACCATCTCTTTCATTCAAATTACTGTATAAAAAAATACGTTCCTTAAAAAACTGTTTATGACTTCGAACCTTTGTTTTGTAAGCGTCTTTTCATTTCTTACAATTAGGCTCCATACTTGCATACTGTCCTAAAAATAACCCTTCCCTATAAAAAAGCACTTCCTCAGTGAATATAGGGCAGTCACTGGTCTTGAGTTAATGAATGATATGGAAGCCGGATTTTTGTGGTGTTTTTGTTGTTGCAGGTGCACCCATGGGTGACGCGACACGGCGCTGAGCCTCTTCCCCCTGAGGACGACAATTGCTGCAGCCTGATAGAAGTGACAGAGGAGGAGGTGGAAAACTCCGTCAAGCACATCCCCAGCCTGGCCACCGTGGTGAGATCGCAAGCTTTACCCTGGAGGCCCATTTAGACAAACCCTCATTCTGTTTCTATCAACAAACCTAATGTATTCAATGCTAATAACCTCAGCACATGATTATTCCACCATAGAATAAAAATAAAGCAGATATTTTGGGCTTTTTAATTATGTTATTATTATATATTTTTTCTCAAACCAAAATTGAGTTTATACCTTGCAATTTAGATTTTTTTTTCCTCTCAGATGTGTTTATTTTTTGCAATTTTAAAATTTTTAGGTTTCTCATACTTATGATGCTATTTCTCACAATTCTATGTTTATGTCTCGCAATTTTAATTCATATAATGCAATTCTGACATTATTTCTTGCAACTCTGACTTGCAGTTCTATTTTGCAGTTCTTGCGTTTTTTCTCAGTTTTGTGAGTGTCTATCAATTTGTTTTCACTTATTTTTTGCAGCTATGAGTTTATACACTTACCGGCCACTTTATTAGACACACCTTACTAGTACCAGGTTGGACCCCCTTTTGCCTTCAGATCTGCCCTAATCTTTCGTGGCATAAATTCAACAAGGTACTGGAAATATTCCTCAGAGATTTTGGTCCATATTAACATAATACCATCATGATGCATGATGATGATTCGTGGTTTATGACATGGTGCGTTATCCTACTGAAAGTAGCCATCAAAAGATGGAAACATTGTGGTCATAAAGTGATGGACATGGTCAGCAACAATACTTAGGTAGGCTGTGGCGTTGACACGATGCTCAGTTGGTACTTATGGTACTTTATATCCCCCACACTATTACACTACCACCAACAGCCTGAACCATTGATACAAGGTGAGATGGATCCATGCTTTTATGTTGTTGATGCCAAAATTTGACCCTACCATCCGAATGTCGCAGCAGAAATCGAGACTCATCAGACCAGGCAACGCTATTCTAATCTACTATTGTCCAATTTTGGTGAGCCTGTGCCAATTGTAGCCTCAGTTACCTGTTCTTAACTGACAGGAGTGTGCTCTCTGCCGCTCATTGGATATTTTCCCTTATTCTGACTATTCTTTGTAAACCCTAGAGATGGTTGCGTGTGAAAATCCCAGTAGATTAGCAGTTTCTGAAATACTCAGACCAGCCCATCTGGCACCAACAACCATGCCATGTTCAAAGTCACTTAAATCACCTTTCTTGCCCTTTCTGATGCTCAGTTTGAACTGCAGCAGATCGTCTTCACCATGTCTACATGCATAAATGCATTGATTGGCTGATTAGAAATTTGCGTTAACGAGAAGTTGACAGGTGTACCTAATAAAGTGGCCAGTCAGTGTACTGTGATTACAGGCTTTCTCCCAATTTCTTCGTAATTCTGATTTTATAAAAGTTCTCATAATGAATTCAATGCTAATAACCCTCGCCGCATGAATAAACCGATTAATTACCCTGTTGTCTGTTTTTTGGAGTTAATTACATTTGCTTTCTGCTACAGATCTTGGTTAGGACGATGTTGCGCAAGCGTTCTTTTGGGAACCCATTTGATTGGGGCCGCAGGGAAGACCGGAGTCCCGCCGCACCAGGACACATGCTATCGTAAGTCTTCCTCATTAGGAATAAAAGGTTTTAACTGGAACAGACATCCTGAATGTTGACATGGACCTCTGTAGTGGTTTCTGTGGTCAAAGATTATTTATTATGGCTCCTGTGGCCTGCTTCATAGTCACTGAATTGGACATGTTAGTATAGATCTTATATATACTACTATATAATAAGAAAGTTCAGTGTGTTTTCAGGTTAAAAAAAGCGCAAGTCTATGCATTTCCACAGAAAATAATTTTGACTAGTTTCTCAAGTAAATTAAATATGACCTAAAATATATGTTGATACTCGTTAAAGTATGTAGCAAGGATGCAAGTACTTAGCAAGGACACATAAAATTTTCCGAATTTTTTTTATGCAAATAAATGTTTTTTATTTGTACTTTCTATTTACTAATGGAAAATTTCTAAGGTTTCCATGAAAAAACAAAACAAAACTGTACAACTTTTGCTAATAGGGATGTAACGATTTACCAGACTCACGATTCAATACAAGTCACGATCCTAATCTCACGATACAATTTAGTCACGATTTTTTAACAAAATTATTTGAAACAAATTTAAGGTGAAGAGCATTTTCATTTCTTTCTTAATTGCTGCACATTTTTTGCAAAATAATATATTTTCTGCCATAACCAAACTGCTATTTTAAAAACAAATAAATAATAATAAAAGACTAATACAAACTAAAGAAGACTTGTTAATGTAAGCAAACTAAATCTGTGACTGTGCTGGGATTATACATTTTTTAAAAGAAATATCAGCATATCTTTGTTTTTTGGCATAGACTGATAAGGGAACCTAGAACCTAGACGTTTACGACAGACCCCGACCTACTGGGCTGTAAGACCTCAGTAATACTGTGTCTCCAGGTGATGACGTATGGAGGCAGGTCTGGGCCTGCCGTAAACGCACTGCTTGATTTTTATTTGCAGTTATTTTTTTGTTTGCAAATTTAATTTTTATTTCTCAAAACTTAATTTTCCCTTTGCAATTCTTTATTTTTGTTAGCATTTTTTTTTATTTGCATCTATTTATTTATTTTTGCTCAATATATATATATTTTTTTGTTTGCAAAACTTTTTTTTTATTCTGCATGTATATATGGCCCTATTGACTCCATACACCTTATGCCTAGTTCAGACTGCATGGTTTTAGCCCCGATTTTGGCTTGCTGACAGGTTTTGAGAAATCGCAGACAAATGCCGGAAATCACAGGTAAATCGGTGCTTGTGCACGTGTGTGACAATCACACAGTATGAACTATCAAAGACGCGATCTGAGAGAATCGCCGATGAGTCGCCGTTGCCTGTGAGTTATTAGGCGTGCCAAATATCTGGAGCTGTCGGCGATTCAAATCATTCTTCGTGAAATGAGTTTTAACTGAAAATAACATTAACGATCGCCTACAGCCAATGAGAGAGCAGCATCCACTTGTGTGTGTGTGTGTGTGTGTGTGTGTGTGTGTGTGTGTGTGTGTGTGTGTGTGTGTGTGTATACCTGCAGGCCAGCGGGAGGATGGGGGAGAAGTAAAAAGCGCTCATTTTCGGTATATTTGGACCCACGAAATGGAGGAAAAACTAGGAAAAACTCAGGAGCACCCGAGTCTGTTTGACGTTTCATACAGAAAGCTAAAAAAGAAATTAAGTTAAGTTTAAGTTAAGGAGAAATGGCTTATTCCCTTCAAACCCAGGTGAGCAAATATGTACATTTCCTACCCCATTAAAGGCTTCTTTCTCATTATGTAGTTAATAACAAAAGATATACTACGTGTTTTTGACTGTGAGACGTAGTTTGGACGTAGTTGTCGGCGATTCTTCCTATTGTAAAGTCATGCTATGTGAAAGTCCCAGTCCCCGATTCATCTTGCAGTGTAAACAAAGCAGCGACGAAACACTAGCCCAGATAGTCTTGCAGTGTGAAAACATCTGTGACACGACTACTTTGAAAATCATGCAGTCTGAACTCGGCATTACTCGCAGCTGATGTACAGGTAAAGCGAGTTTGCGGCTGTAAACACAGCGTCCCCTCTTTTCAAAAAAATATATTGCGATTCATTCAACATTTCAGGTTTGAATTGTCACATATTTGAAGCGATTTTTAACCAGCTCACAGTGAATCGTTACATCCCTAATTAATAATAAGGATGTTTTTAGTATCAAATCAGCATATTATAATGATTTCTTTAAAAAAATCTAAACTATAGAACATAATCGAAGAACAACTTATTTCAATGGATTTCTGGCAAGAAATATTAGGAAAAACAGAAGTCAAGAAGGTAAACACAAATAATAAAATTCATTAACACTGAATTATTCTGTAGTATAATCCATAACTATAACGAAGATGTACCACGCCAACTGATTAATTTGTGTTTAACAAGATAAAGGGATTCTGTTGTAACCTGATAATAACATGTTATTTACTATTGAAATTAAATAATAAAAACACTTTGAAATGCATCAACTGACCAATCGGAATCAATTATTCCAGAGAGTCTTTTAATGAATAATATAAATGTGTGTAGTAAGACTGAAAAAATCACGACATCTTAAAAATCTTAATCAACTTTATTAAATACTTGTGAAGGGCGGCACGGTGGCTCAGTGGTTAGCACTGTCGCCTCACAGCAAGAACGTCACAGGTTCGAGTCCCGACTGGGCCAGTTGACATTTCTGTGTGGAGTTTGCATGTTCTCTCCGTGTTCTTATGGGTTTCCTTCAGGTGCTCTGGCTTCTCCCACAGTCCAAAGACATGTGGTATAGGTGAACTGAATAAACTAAATTGGCCATAGTGTATAAGTGTGTGTGAATGAGTGTGTATGGGTGTTTCCCAGTTCTGGGTTGCAGCTAGAAGGGTATCTACTGCGTAAAATATTTGCCGGAATAGTTTTGCTTTGGTGACCTATGAAATGGAGACTAAGCCGAAGGAAAATAAATGAATGAATTATCAGTGAATACTTTGATTTAGGCCTTAATTTGAGATACAGATGACTCGTGATTACTCTTTCACAGCTTTAAAATTATGGTTTTATAAGCAGCCTATTTACAACCATGCACCCTATTGCAGATTCCATCGCAATTATTTGCTAGCTTGATTAATAATATTAGCGAAGCCCATTACACACATTTTGATCGCTTTCAAAAACCAGGGGACAAGTGTAAATTATTTTCTGTGGCTATCATTAGCATGTGTGAGTTATATTTAGCATGACACATTCCTTTAATGGTGTTTTCAGGCATATCTGATAGAAACGCTCCAAAATAAGAATGCTCATGTATCCGCATCTCTCCTACCGTCTAGAAAAGGCAGAGCAGGGAGTTTGAAATACTGCCGCAATCTCAGTAACCCCAGGTAAAGCTCCGCTAGCCTGTTAGCGCTCCACCCATGTGCTGTTCACTCTCCTCCACCTCTATTATACTGTATGTAGGAGATAATGGTCATGTCCATATTGAATGATCTGCACTTAAACTGAATGGTGTGGTGTTTTTTTTAGCATGCTCAGATAAAAGCTTAAAGAATAGAGTGAATTACCTACCGCTTGTGTTTTCCCTACCTTATAAAGCATTTTATGCATGCGCAACCCCAATTCTGAAAAGTTTAGAGATTTTGTAAAATGCAGTAAAATCAAGAATCTGTGATTTGGTAATTCTTTTTAAAGGGAATACTCCACTTATTGGGGGGAAATAGGCTAATGCTAGGGTTAAACAGTCGAGTTTTGCAATTTTTGAATCCATTCAGCTAATCTCAGATTCTGGCATGAGCATTTTTAGCTTATCTTAGCATAAATCATTGAATCGGATTAGACCATTAGCATCTCGCTCAAAAATTTTAAAATAGACATTTCTATTTTTTTGATAATTTACCTATTTAAACAAAAAAATTTTAAAACTCTTTTTTTATTTTATTTGAAAAACATGCTAATGGTCTAATCCGATTCAATGATTTATCCTAAGCTAAGCTAAAAGTGCTCCTGCCAGACCCAGAGATTGGCTTAATAGATTTCAAAAAGGTTAAACACAACTGTTGAACTCAAGGTGACTTGTAAAATTTCCAAAAAAGTGGAGTGTTCCTTTAACTTTTATTTAATTGTCTAAAATGAAAGATAAAAGATTTCAAGCTGTTTTGTTGACCAAACTTAAAGAAATAGTTCATCCAGAACTGAAAACTTACTGTCAGGTCATCATAGATGTAGGGCCTTTTTTAAAGTTGAACATTAAAGAAGATTTTTAGCTGAATCTGTGGTGTTTGGTGATTTGTTTAATGTAAGTCAATGGTCACTCGTGTTTGAGATAAAAATGAACACATACAAACAAGTGCATATCAATCTTTGTGGCTCCTGATGATACACTGAGATCTAATTAAATAAACACTAATATATAGAAGGCGCTCAGTAGGGTTGGGTGCCAATTTAACCGGTTTGCACCAGAACAAATTAGCATAAGAATTTCAGTGCCTAATTTCGGTGCCACTGGTGTTGCATTAAGGACGCAAGAAGCATCAAGGGGTACATAAAAGACACACATTTAATACTAAACAACTCTGAGGGATACGGACATCTTCTGTGAGCGACTCCCTTCAGATTCATTAACACGCATGATCACGTTCATCAAATTTGCTTATACTAAAGTATGGCTATATTTTAAATGCAAGGATTCTGGCAGCAACATGAAGCAGATGCTTTACATAAGTTGCTTGTAAACACGTCAAACTTAATGAAACATTTGAGGGCACATCGAATCTACTTAAAGGAAGAGGCATGTACTGTCTTTGACAGCTTACAACATCATCAGGCACTTTCAAGGAGTACGTTTACATTGAATTTTAATAAGATTAAGACAATACTCTGATTAAAAGTCTACCGTGTAAACACTGACTTATGATTACCTTATAGGACCACCTGAGTCACGAAATGCAGAGGTTTTTTCTTTCCATTCAGCGTGCAGTATCAAATTACATTAAAACAACACTCCTCCAGCAGTCCTTCATATTCTCATCCAGTACTTCAGTTTTATCATGGGGCATGAACTATTAAAAATTAAACACTCGAAATTCCATTAAACTCCAGAGGAAATGTGGATAGCGTGGTGACGCAATGACGTTAATTGAATTATGTGCTATAACATGTAAATCGGGATCATAAAAGGAACATTCAAAAAGCAACTCATGTAAACACCTTAATCATATTATTTTCGTATTCAGATTAAGGCAAATAATTTGATTACTGATGTCCATGTATATGTAGTCACAAGCCCCAACCCTATGATGATGACAGCCTTTCCACAGGTTAGTAGTAAAGCTAATGTAATGTTAATTCAATAATGCAAATCTTAAGTTCATGCTAGCAAACACAACTGATCATAAGGAATGTATTAATAGCTCAATACAAATATATATAACATGAATTGATGTTTACTTTAAAATTTAATTATAACGTTCAATTAAAATGATTCAAATATTTCTTTTGTCAAATAAAATATTTTTCTATAGCTATCCACCATAATTCTATGGCTCAAAAGTATCGGTTTAGGCATTGGTTTGGCACCGGCATCGCTTTAAAAAACACGATACCCAACCCGTGACTCATTGTCATTCACACAGAGACTGCACACTGTCATGGTAACACATGACACTAGTAATGCAAGTAATGCAATAAACATTATTTAGCAACATCAGATGAAAAATAAAACTTTGATGCTCATAACTGATAAGGAAAAACTAACAAAGAACAATAGCAATGTCAAAAAAATATATAAAAAGTGAAGTGTCATGCAGGGAATTATGGGAAAGCCAGTTCACGGTTATTCACTCTACATATACAGTTGAAGTCAGAATTATTACCCCCCCCCCCCCCCCAACCCCCCTCCCCTTTAAATTATTTTTCTTTTTTAAATATTTCCCAAATGATGTTTAACACAGCAAGGAAAGTTTCACAGTATGTCTGATAATATTGTTTCTTCTGGTGAAAGTCTTATTTGTTTTTTTATGCTAGAAGAAAAGTTTTTATTTAAAAAAATAATAATTTTAAGGTAAAAATTATTAGCCCCTTTAAGCTTTATATTTTTTAGATAGTCTACAGAACAAACCATCGTTATACAATAACTTGCCTAATTACCCTAACCTGCCTAGTTAACCTAATTAACCTTTAAATGTCACTTTAAGCTGTATAGAAGTGTCTTGAAAAAAATCTAGTCAAATATCATTTACTGTCATCATGGCAAAGTTAAAATAAATTGGTTATTAGAAATGAGTTATTAAAACTATTAGGTTTAGAAATGTGTTAAAAAAAATCTTCTCTCTGGAAAATAAACAGGGGGGGGGGTTAAACATTCAGGGGGGCTAATAATTCTGACTTCAACTGTATATGTTAAGAATACTTACTATTAACAAGGTTACAGGTTTTTACTGTAGCATTTTAACAGTAATTTACTGTTAAAACCATGTAATTTTGACATGAAACATGCCTTTGCTCCAAAATGTTTGTAAATGCTGGTCATCAAAATCAGAATTAGTTTATATTTACAGAATGAAATGTATTTGTCCAGTGAAAACATTAAAAATACTTTCTCTGTGTTTTTGTTAATTAAATAAAGGTCAAAGAGGATGAACAAATCTAATATTTTTTGATTATATTGCATTTCACAGTATAATTTAGTTTTTAGAACTGGGGTTGTAATATCTAAAATATTCATGATATCTTGCTAAAATCCCCTTGCTATGTATTTAGCTGTACTTTTAATAATCAACCTTTAGCACATCAAGCATTAATACTTTGCATGTGTTATATAATATTATAAGTCAGTTCATGTATGTCCTGGGCAGTTCAAGACGATGTTTATCCAGTCCTTCTGAATATCTGCATGCAGTTTAAAGAGGGCAGCATCCTGATTTGCCACCCGGCCATGGTCATTTTTTTTTATCGAGACTCTGATTGGTTTGTCAGACTGGGTACATTTGCATGCGGCCTCCCCGGTACACAAAAACATGGTAGTCACTCTTTCATGTGCCTCCTTGCAGGGGTCCTGGTAGGAGGGGTGCAGAGTAAATAACATTTTCTTCCTTACAAACATTTGCTTAGACTGTAATATCTTATTGAGAATAGGAAAGAAAACTATTACAAATAACTGTAACTATTTAAATGATTAATCAATAGAAATGGTTCATGTAAAATAATGAAAGTGTAAGGCTGGCTAAAATCGCAGCAATAGATAGAAGCAAGTTTATTTGCTTGTATGTCAGAAGTTGCAGTAGATGTTTTCGTTATTAACTTTTATCTTGATGTTTATAGACTTTTAATAGCTATTTTTAAATCACATTTTACGTGATGAGCATATAGACTAGTTTATACATTTATTTATTCATAAAAATAAGATGGACAAAGACTGTCACTTTTCACGTTTAGTAGCACAAGAAGCAGATTAACGTTTTGATTGTTTTTCGCAAAGTGTCAGAAAACACTAAACCCCAAACTCTGTGCCTTGAACAGGCAAATATGCTTGACATTGCAGCCTGCTCTTTATCAAACAAAAATTTAAAGCTGAAACTGGATGGTCATCTGAGAGATGTCATGTCATGGTAAAGACATTTTCACCATGTTAAAAGTACACATGATCTCAATTACAAAAGGGAAAGTAACATGTTTAAGGCAGTTTTTACGATTTTGAGAATGAAAATGTAATTTGTTCTATTGAACAATACTAATAAATTATTTCAGTATATAATTCTTATTCATTTTACTTTCATTTATCATTAAGGAAATACACTGCAGGTGTTTAGAATAAAAAAAAGTTATCATACTACCCCAAAACTGATCCAATACATTAAGAATTTCAATTGTTTTTGTATTTCATACTCTATTATGTCATATTTCAATATGCAAATTAGGAATTATTTAATTAAACATGCTCATTTGCATGCTTTTCTACGGTTGTTTGTAGAATTAAATGTATGTTGTATATAATGGTTCAAATTATCAATGAATATATCTCCCTGTCAAAGCCTTCAGAATACAGATAATAATTAAGGATGTCCAGATTCAATCATGTTATCAGAAATCAGGCACGATCATGCTTAAAGCGCAAAGGCACAGTTCATCACTCCCAAGAGAGTACAATTATTGCAATGAGTGACCTGCCATTCACCTTTGTTGAGAACCCTGGATTTCTTATGCTTATAGAGCACGGAGAATCTTGATTTGAAAATGTATAATAGAAGTATCGGATCAGGTTTCGTTATCGGTAGATATCAAAAATCAAATGACTTGGACAAGGGGGCAAAAAAACCTGATCGGGACATACCTAATATTAATAAAGGTGTAAGGCAGGGGTCTCAAACTCGCGGCCCGCGGGCCATTTGCGGCCCTCAGTGTAATATTTTGAGAGAGAGCGCTCCCCGCTCCGCTGATTCTATCCGTACACAGCGCGCTTGTCACTCAATGCGCGTTGTCGCGCGCGTTCTGATCAGCTGTGTTGTCACGCAGTACTCAAGAGCGGTGTTATCGCACGCCTACTGAAGGGCGGGACCGAGGGTGTGTCGCGTCGCGGGGGCACTTTTGATCATTTTGGAAGGGCACTTTCTATGCAAGACTAAAAAGGGCATGTGCTCTGCACAGGTTGAGCCCTATGTGTGCACGTGCCTGCCCTGCATCTTATATATATTGATATTATAGGTAGATACAGACTGGTACAGACTGATGTGACTGGAGTGGGGTGGGGGTGTTTTATTTATACATATATACGCCTTTTTTTAGGTGAGGGAATGGAAGTTTTGAGTGAGTTCTCCCACTTTTTTCCCTAGGACTTCAATAAGTCAAAATACAGGTCAAGACTTAATGATGATCATCTTCAAGCCATACTGAGGGTCTCAACTGCTTCCGCTCTAAAGCCAAATGTGGTTCAGATTTGTGAGAAGAAGCGCTGTCAAGTCTCTGGCATCAAGAAGTAGGCAAAAGATGCCATGTTCAGAAGAACTGTTCATAATCTTCACTCAATGTTCTATTAACGTTCAGAAGACTTCATGTTCAGAAGAAATAATTAAAACTGTTAATAATGACATTTGAGGACTTTTTTTTTGTGAAATCCTTTATGCGGCCCAGCCTCACCCAGACTTCCTGCGGCCCCCAGGTAAATTGAGTTTGAGACCCCTGGTGTAAGGTGTAAGTGCTTCTGAAGGGGTAATTTATGAATGAAAAATAATTTTTGAGAAAACAGATAAAAAAAAGTGCTGTTATTGAAATTTACAGGAACAAATTAAAAAGTGTGACAAAAGAAACCTTCAAAGTACAATTTCTTTCCATTAGAGTAAAAAACACTTAAAATAAAAGTGCCTTGCCTACATATTTTAATGGCTGTTTTATAGTATAGACACCAAACTTCATAGTTTTATTCATATCTGTTCCGAAGTCTTTGACAGAAAGATATATCCGTGTTTTATTCATAAAAAGAAAAATTGTTTTTATCTATCCTGGCTGTCTACAATATTTTTGGATCAATGAAGTAATCAAAAGAGATCCTCAAAACCCCTTTTTTTAAAAACCTTGAACTCTAACATGTCAAAAAAGAAAACAAGTCATTTTAAACCTGACTTAATCCAATTAATTATGCCAGAAAGCATTTCAAAGTAGCACATATTTAATGAAATAATGTTCAAATACTTAAACATAACATTTTAGAAACTTGCAATACACACCAAAAGTCTGTAGTTCTTAATGTATTCAATCAACAGTTCAAGTATGCTGAACACTATTCATTTTTTACCCGATTTACCTGGATAGCATTTGCCTTTAAACGGCAAAAAAAAAGAAAGAACAAAACACATTGATCTGTAAAAAGGAGGCCCAATCTTGCATTAAAAACTCTTCCCGGTGCCCCTGCCTCCTTGCGACCCGAGCATATGACTGATGCCATACCATGTACTTAATTTCCTAACAATTAAAGCCACACTTAACAATTGCATTTGTCTGCATTGCCATAGACAGGTTGGCACGGCTGGCATGTGCGCTTATTTAAACCTCCGCATTTGTCTGTTTCCTAGGAAACAAGAGAGCGAGGAGGGCATGCGAAGCGTGGACCTGCCCTTCGTGGGCGAGGATGAAGTTCTGTCCTGATAGTTGTGGGCGTCTTGTTCAGGGGATTGGCGCTGGGATTGGGGCCATTTTGGCTTCAGGAAGGCCAGGATTTGGACCTGGGGCTGGGATGTGAAGTCACTCATGCATGTGTTTGTACAGTCCACGGCAGCATGCACTGTTTCTGTCCGCCCAGGTCTCTGCTGTCTCTCAGGACCTGTTTTTTCCTGTGTGCAAGTGTTTCTACTCTGGTCTCCAGCATGGAGACTTCGCTTTACTCCTCTACTTCAGCTAGGGGGCGCCAAATTATGGAGAATAACATCATGAAAATTTCTTTGAGAGTTTAGGGAGAGAGACATGCTGCAAAATTGCAGTATTGTTTCAGTAAAATAGAAAGAAATATTGCTTACATTTTTCATTCTTAATGTCGTAATCATCTAAAAAAAATCTAATTTAGGTAGTAAAGTACATATATGCATAAAATAAAGACATAAATTAAAAGTAAATTGCATTTAATAGTTAATTTAATAATCTTCAGGTTTTTATAGTAATAGATTTTTAGCACAAATGTATAATTTCTTAGCCTTGTCTACCACTCATAGAACAAAAAGTAGCTTTAATGTTTGTTTAATTCATTCATTTATTTATTTTGATTGAAAATGAAATATTCTCAGTTTCTCTGGATTTATGATTTATAGATATAAATTTGAGTCAAAATTAATTGTTTTATTCTGTAATTCTGCAATAGAAAAATTGGTGCCTAAAGTAACAATATAATTTAGGAAATCAAAATTAGGTGGAATAACCCTGATTTTCACTCTTAATAAATCAAAACATTTTTTTTTTTCTCTAAATGACACTGTTTGGCCCATTTTTGGCCCATAGCTCTATTTAAAACCGATTTCAATATTTTGGATCAACTTGGGTGATCAAGTCTTTTTCTATGCAGTGCATATGGCATATGTTTATGCATGGCATATGCTTATGAGGTTGAGCCGCACAAGAGCAGTGAAAGAGACGCTGAAGCCCCTTGTGAATGGGGCGTTAGTCAATTGGTTAATGTATGTTAAATCGCGCGAGAGGTTGAGCCGCACAAGAGCAGTGAAAGAGCCGCAAGCGGCCCCTGCCATATGCACTGTATAAAATAGAATAAATTAAAATATAATAAACTACAATCATACGACAGAGCCATTTGGAACAGTTCTTTATGGTTATCTGTGGAATCAAACAATATGCAAATACAAAAATGTAACAATCAAACATAAATTAACATGACTAATTGTGGATACACACATTGCGTGATTGATGCTAAAAAGAATAATTGTGCAAGCCTAAATGAAATGTAATCAGACTTTTATAAAATAATACTCATAGAGTAGTAACTAATCAGGATTGTTCCAGCTGATACCGAGTGCCGATTCCTTGTCATGGTTACCGGCTGATACGGAGTATCGATTCTAATGCTTCAAGCTTCATAATTCATTAAGCACATTTTCCCTTTAAGTATGATACTTAAGTGGTGATCCCACCTTACCTGAGAGAACAAATTAAGGATGTTGCATATAATCACTTAAACACATCTCTTTTTACTATTTAGATGTGAACAAATGGCCAGAAAACATTATTGCACAGATATAAAAATTGGTTAGAAAAATTACAAACAATCGCTCGTGTCACTGCAGCTCAAAACACGGTAAATACAATGGTTGAACTTATAGTAAAGAGACCATCACTTATGCGAGTTGCGAAAATAGATTGTAGAAACAGAGGTCACACCGCATCTGTATATATTTTAGCTGTTGTGATGGGAGCGAATCGATTGTTCTTGCCTCCACACATCATTTACTTCAGGTGTTGTGGCTACTGTTGGCTATGTATGATATACGTGAGCTCACATGCGTCTTTCTCTGCTTGTAAACTCCTAAACAAACACCTGTAATCGGTTCATGAGGTCGCCCAGATTGGTGAGTATCGATTAAATGTGATTATCGGCCGATACCGATCTTCGGCCGATTGATCGGAGCATCCCTAATAGTAACATTTTACACAAATACCTAATAAATCAGAGAAATCCAGAGCAAATGAGAACTTTCAGTTGGTCTCAGATAGACTTTTTACATAGCTATATATATACAAACAATATATGATTCAATTAGTCAAACAATAAAAGGCTCTTAATTAACTGCTCTGACATTCAACTTGAAAACCTTCTCAAAAAGCCAAGTTTGTTTTTATCAGATTTATGTAGAAATATATACATCAAATGACAGATTAGATTTGAATCCTTTACATTTTCTTCAGTGAAGTCTGAAAACGTGTATAAATATAGCAAGGAGACAATTCAGGATGCGATTAGGGAAAATACAGATATGTTTGTATATGTGTGTGTTTGTTGTATATCAACTCACACAGCTTTGTTTGTGTCATATAATGTCTGTTGCGCTGTAGATAGTGAACAGGAGCACGCCTGGAAACTATCTCATTGACTTCCTTTTTTAATAATAATTATTATTATTTCAACCATAACAAAGCCCAATTCCAAGAGATGCAAGAATTATGTTCATAGCATGTAGACACACACTACCTGACAAAAGTCTTGTCATCAATCCTAGTTGTAAGAGCAACAAATAATAACTTGACTTCTAGATGATTATTTGGAAAAGTGGCAGAAGGTAAAGTTTTCCGATGAATCATCTGTTAAACTGCAATCAAATCATCACAAATACTGCAGAAGACCTATTGGAACCCGCATGGACCCAAGACTCTCATGGAAATCAGTCAAGTTTGGTGAAGGAAAAATCATGGTTTGGGGTTACATTCATTATGGGGGTGTGTGAGAGATCTGCAGAGTGAATGGCAACATCAACAGCCTGAGGTATCACGACATTTGTGCTGCCCATTACATTACAAACCATAGCGCTCCTTCTCATACATCAGCTTCCACATCAAAGTTCCTGAAAGCAAAGAAGGTTAAGGTGCTACAGGATTGGCCAGCCCAGTCCCCAGACATGAACATTATTGAGCTTGTCTGGGGTAAGATGAAGGAGGAGGCATTGAAGATGAATCCAAAGAATCTTGATGAACTCTGGGAGTCCTGCAAGAACGCTTTCTTTGCCGTTCCAGATGACTTTATTAATAAGTGATTTAAGTCATCACAGAGATGTATAGATGCAGTCGTCAAAGCTAAAAAAAATAAATAAAAAAATACATTCAGGGCATGATCCTATTTTATTTTGGTAAAATAAGTGTTTTCTAGAGGTCTTTGGCTTTCATATAAACCACTTCTGACTGATACCAAATGATCAACTAAAAGTCAAGTTATTTGTTGTTACAACAAGACTTTTATCAGGTATGATATATACATAGTTATTTATGTAGGGCACAAATAACCTTTAGGAAATGCCATAGTTGTGACCGTTCTTCTCATTGTACATAACATGATCCTTTTAATCATGACGGTAACAGTTATTTCACTTCCTTTTCCTGTGTAGAAGTACCAAAATGCAATGTAACGTGCATTTCCAACTTTACCATTTCTATATCAGACGCATACTCTAACGTTTTTGCAGAAATACAATAACTCTGTGCGATCTATGCATGACTTTTCACTTAAGGAATCAACATTTCGTCTGTTTTTTCGACACAAATGTATGCCTTACATTTTCATACTCATATAACTGTAGCATAGGTCTTCATCAGTTCATAGTTTTTGCAACCCAGGCTCATTACAAAAATGTACCGCTATATACATTTCTGGAGAGTGCCAAATACGTCCCGGGAGGTATGTTTTTTTTGCAGTTTTTGTTTTCGTAAATCCACCAGAGGCCACTGTGTACATTTTTTCAGATCCTAAATTTCTCTCGCAAGTGCTATTTGTGCCTGCTGTTCTTGCATAAAACCACCAGAAGCCGCTGTCGACTGACTGACCCACCCTCTTACTTTCCTAAACCCAACCAATAGTGTTTTCAAAAGCACCGATTGGATCACCCACTCACTTCTCTAAACCCAACCGATAGTGTTTTCAAAAGCAAACCAGAAAAAGAAAAGCCCTCGACTTTTTATCACATTTTTCAGATTTTACCTCATTCTGACCTTGTTATTTAATTGTTTATTTAAATTTTTGTCTTTTGTTTTTGTCTTACCTGCTTTCTGGAACCGTTTTTTTTGCCAGACTCGAACATCGTCATCGTGGTCGACTCCTCTCTGTGTCTCAAGTTTGCTAACGTACATGGTGAGCTTCTGGACAAACTGGTAAAAGCAGAAAATCCATTCATACGGAGGTAAGCAGTCAGCTGGTAAGCGCGATAAGAAATAATGTCATACCATCTCGAGCGTTCATTTTAAAGACGAAATGCAGCCATTCGTATATTTCTGGCTACATAATTCGCAATCTCCAGAAATGTATATTAGGGCTATGTTTTCAGAATGAGCCTATGTTAAAAAATTTTTGGGGTGGGGGTATGGTAGAATTGTAGATAAAGTAGAATTGGAGATTTTAGATAAGCTAATAGAGTAACTCGCTTAAGCTCAGTTTTAAAGTTGGCAAAAATAGTCCAAAGCCCTGTTGAGATTTTCTCAATGTGCACTACTGTCGTGTATCTCCCGTGTTGACTATTTTTCTATGATCGTTTCATTTTGTTTGCTCTATTTAGCCGTAGATTTCCAAATGTCAAGAGTGACGGTGCTTTTTCCACCACTGAAATTTATAGCTCATGCTTCCACGTATCAGGGGAGTCTTTTTCTGCACAAGTAGGTTGAATGTATGTTGTCGGTTTACCTTGTTAACTAAAATCAGCTCTTTTTTTTCTTATTCAAACCACTCTTTGTTTTTTCCCTGCATGTTGAACTGCTGTATTTTATAGTACTTGTGTATTTTTTTCTCTTTCTCTCTCCTTTAGAGGTTTATTTTCATCTTTTGTGTAGGTACTATTACTATGCATAAGAAATCTCACATCGTGGTGCAGTTCTGGACTGTGTAAATCAGTCGGTCAGTCTCTTGTGTTTGTTCTATTGGATGTCGACTATTGAAGGAAACGTGTAATATTGACTTAAATATGCATGTGCGCTGGGGGGGAAAAAACAAAGCTGGTTATATATACATATCACTATAAATGTGGATGTTTTTAAGATTTTGATGACCTTTAAATAATATATTAAGAAGCAGATTTTTTTGTTTGTTTATAGAAAATAGGAAAGATCTATAAGGGATTTTATCTTTGCACATTAGAATGTTTAGCTGATTAAAAATTCAATGCATGTGTTAGGGCTGCATGATATTGGAAAATACACTTCCCAGCCACTTTTATTAGGTACACCTTTCCAACTGCTCATTAATGCAAATTTCCAATCGGCCAATCACATTTCATAAAGCACGAATCATCTCAGACTGGCTTCTTGAACATGACAATGAGTTCACTGTACTCAAATGGCCTTCACAGTCACCAGATCTCAGTCCAATACAGCACCTTTGGGATCCAACTATAGATCCAACCCGTTACTAGTAAGGTGTACCTAATAAAGTGGCCGGTAAGTGTACACTGCGATATAAATACAATTTCACCAGGTGACTTAAACGGCTTTATTTGAAAACTTATTATTTCAAATTGATTGGGATGATTTGTATGGGAATGAAATATAAATATATTTCATGTGATTTATTAGATACATAATTGATTATTTATTTAAATAAACACAATGGAGCAAATGTCAAAGTGAAACAAACAGCACTTTCTGGGGAGTGTCTGACAGTATTCGGGTACAGAAATTGAATAATCAAATGTAAAAGAGCATTGCATAGTCTTCTTCATGGTAATAATTTGATAAATATAATTTTTTAAAACATTTTTATGCTCTTTATGTTCTCTTAAAATACTTCAAACTCTTAAAATGTTCACATAGGCCTTAAAAGCACATGGAGATTTTAAACTTTCACTCTATAATGGTTAAATTCTGCAATGTCTCCACAAATCTTATGTGCTTTCACCTGTGGATTCTGGTCATCTTTATTCAATGTGTGACTATTGCAGATGCGCACATTGCTATATCGTTGCTCAAGCGATATATTATGCAGCCCTAGCACGTGTATTAAAAACGTCAAACGAGGCCTCTGTACAATCGAAATTACACAAAAGATTCACCAGCTCAGATCTAAGACTTCTGTTTTATTATTATAAGCGTTTCCTATGTACAGCCACTTTCTCCAAGACTGACTTTGCGAATGGTATAGATTGATTGTAGAGGTGTTTATGCTGTACTGTATATTTATAACCTCTTGAAATCACTCTTCACTGTATCTGCCCAGTATTTTCTTGAAGGGCTATGGTAAATGTTTGCATCCCTGTCACACAAGCGACTGCGTTTTGAGGGCTGTTTACAGGGATGTTACATTAATGCATGCTGTCATGGTCACACGGTTTCATTCGGCATGTTTTCGAAGCATGGTTGAGCTCTTTAATGCATCTCATTGCTGATCATTATATATATAGTATATATTGTATCCAGTTGATTATTTAAATAAATTAAAGTTGCCTTTACTTTGGTTTTATTTATGTTTCATTATTAACAGTAGTGAATGACATGGTTAAAATGCCCTTATTTTGTATTATAAAAGGTCATTAATTAGTTTTGGGGGTCTCCAACAACAGGCTGGTGCAAGGTCAAAAAACACTTTCATTGTCTTATAATATGCATTTATTTTTACCTAATTATCCCAACGACTCCCATATGATTTGTTCAGCTATTCATTTGTTCCCAAACCCCTCCTTTGCGTTAGGCTAATCTGCTGTGATTGGTCCGATGACTCAGTCTGTTGTGATTGGTCGACTGGGTTCAGCACGAGATGGAAACAAACGCCCACCACTGTTATGAAGTAGCGAGAATGTGAGCACCCAATACAGAAGTGCAATTAAGCAATGCAGTTAAACACCAGCATAGTCTCTGGTGTTCCTTCAATAGCGAACGGTTGGCAAGGTGTAGGTTATTGTATCAATCATCAGAAAAATGACAGGAACAAACACAGCACTAGGTCGGCTATACTGTGGTATTGTTGTGAAAATTAACTTTAATTGTTTATTTGCCACAGCTGAATCTCCAATTGTAGGTTATCGTCATCTTCGTGTCATGATCAGTATCCTGTCTCGCTAGTGTCTGAAGGGTAAGGCGCGTTCACGTTTTTCCGGAATCGGTACTACATATTTGGTAATGCACCGTGTCGACGTTGATGCATTTAGGCAAAAGATCTGAACCCAACACGATCCATTTATTCGACTCTGAGTTGACTATTTGGCTAAAAAAGAATCAATAGTTTTACACACAGTACACTTTCAGATATAAACGCCAGCTGGATGTTTACATTCACTTAGTGCTGTGTTATTGTTATTCATTGCATGTAAGTTCATTTTCAAAAACCTATAATAGGGGCTCTTTAAAAAAAACCTCAAATCTATCTGCAATATTATTATGTGAATTTCTGATGTTTTTAATCACATTTTTTTTTGCTCTGTTTGAGTGTGGTAGTCTTACAATAACTAACAGTAATAGTAATAGTGTTTACTTTGATTGGTTCACCGACAAATTAATTTCGTTTTGCCCACAGTACAATCGTGAAGGTTTGGGATGACGTGAGTGAGTAAATATCTGCAATTTCTATTTTTAGTCATTAGAGGGCGGTAGAGGACAGTTTTACAAACATGGAAACACCTTGCTAGTGTCTTGTCAGACCCCCCTTTTCCTTCAAAACTGCTTAAATTATTTTCAACACAGATTCAACAAGGTGCTGGAAACATTTCCTTGAGATATTGGTCCATTTGGTCCACTTGATGGAGATTTGTGTGCTGTCTACATCAGGCCCAGCACCAGATTTGGAATGTAAGGTGGGCCAAGTGACATTAGGTGGGTCAGAAAAAAATTAAGACCAATTTATTAAAAACATAAACAAAATAAAACATTTTTGAACACTGAATCATCTTGTTTTTTTAAAGTATGCCATAAAATATTTCAGATTCTCATTTAACATGTTTTCTTGTTTTTATTTACAATAAATCCCAAAATCAAGTGTAGCAGTGCAACAGGATTATGTTTGTTTGATATATATATATATATATATATATATATATATATATATATATATATATATATATATATATATATATATATATATATATATATATTTGTAAACCTACTGTACCATTCTGTGTAGTGTAAACCATTATTTAAAGCAGTCAAAATGTGGTCAAATTATCGTGGTGGAAGAGGAGATTCCCCCCAAAAATGTGTAAAGCGCTTTGAGTGTCTAGAAATGTGCCATATAAATGTAAGGAATTATTATTAATATCAATTAAAATTTGTCAGAGCAGGCAGTTCAAATACAACAGATGTTGTGCCGTGAAATGCACCCCTTTTGTACCCCTTCATTAGCATTCTCAATCTACACTGATGAAAAAATCAAAGGCTATAATTGATTAAAACATTATATGATTATTAATTTGATTGATAATGCAAGAACAAGAAGTAAAATGCATTTTAACACTCACTAGGTTTACAAATAAATGTAAAATAAAATATTACCTGTAGTGTGTGACTGATGTAATGAGCCTGATTTTAAAATTAGGCTTTTTTAGTGGGTTTTAAACAAACTTTTACATGGAAAATGTGTATTTAAAGTGAATCTATTAATTTATTTATTATATATGTACTGTATGGAAGGGTTCTATTCATGAAACTCACCTCGGTCACTCTCATTATTGTCATAACTCTTATTAAAAATATGTACATATTCCTGAGGTGCTGCATTTTATGGCAGGGGTGCGTCTGATTATCCTACTCTGCTAACTGGTTGCTTTTCTCAAGACTTTCCATTTTACTTTCTTTTTTTTTTTTTAGATGCTGTGGGTGTTGGAACAGAAATCAGTGTGATATGCAGAATTAAGTTATTTTTTCATCAAATGCTGCTTGAATGGTTTTAAATTGCTTAAAATGCAAGATTTTAATGAAGATTGTAAATAATCCTGACTAGCATGGAGAATGTATTTAAAGAACACATCATGGTCACATTTCATGATGATTTTTCAGTTACAAATCATATTGCTAATATTTTGTTCCGGTACGGGGCCTGGGTGGACCAAGCTCCTTATTAGGTGGACCAGACCTACCCTGGCCACCCACCCTGTGATCATAAAGGGAGTAACAACTATCAGGTAGGCTGTGACTTTTTAATGATATTTTAGTTAGCACTAAGTTTAAGTGTCTGTTAAGTGTGACAAGCAAATGTCACCAAAACTATGGACCCATTTTACATATCTGGGTTTTACAACAGTCGTCGAATACAACAAATATTTTTACAATCCTATTTGCTGAAATGATAAAAGACAAACCTAATTTGTTGTTTTAGTAATTTGATGCAAGGATGATATAACATCAGGGGTGGATTAAACCAATAAGCGAGGTAAGCCGCCCCTTAGGACCCCGACCAATGCAAAGAAAACAATTTAATAATATAATTTTAATAATTATATGTAATAAAAATAATGATGGAATGTTCCTTTCATTCTGCACATGCTAATATTTAAATCTAATCACAAATATGGCTAATTAACTTATCGATAGAAAAAGAGAGTTTTGAGTTTTAATGCCAGGGCCCCATACCTTGCTTAGGGCCCCCAAATCACTAAGCGTGCCCCTCTTTATTGCATAGATAAATACTGTACACATAAATGTTTAAAAAAATCTAAATATTAAAAAAAATATATATTTTTTGTAAACATTTTTTATTGAACACGAGAGAATAGCATTCATTGTATACAAATGTCCAATTTCTTCTTTTTTTTCTTTTAAACACTTATAAACATTTAACCCCACCCATCCAAAAATGAAAAAAGAAAAGAAAAAGTAATTACATATACACAGTTGAAGTCAGATTTATTAGCCCCCATTGAATTGTATTTTATTTTTTAATTATATCCCAAATTATGTTTAACAGAGCAGGTAATTTTCACAGTATGTCTGATAATATTTTTTCTTCTGGAGAAAATCTTACTTGTTTTATTTTGGCTAGAGTAAAAACAGTGTATAATTTTTAAAAAAACATTTTAAGGTCAATATTAATAGCCCCTTTAAGCTATTTTCTTTTTTGATTGTCTATAGAACAAACCACGTATATAACAACTTGCCTAATCACGCTAACCTGCCTAGTTAAACTAATTACCTAGTCAAGTCTTTAAATGTCACTAAGCTGTATAGAAGTGTCTTGAAAAATATCTAGTCTAATATTATTTACTGTCATCATGGCGAACATAAAATAAATCAGTTATTAGAAATGAGTTATTAAAACTTTTAGGTTTAGAAATGTGTTGAAAAAATCTGCTCTCATAATAACACAACACGGAGTCAAAGTAAATAAATAGATAAATAAAGTAGTTACATTAGTTAGTTACATTAACAATAACAACGTGCTACCTACTTCTTGGTTATTGTGAATTTAGTTGTGCTGAGGTTGGACCAATGAGTCTATTGTAGGGCATGACAATACCGGAGTAAACATGCAAAAGTGAAAGCTAATTCTGACCATAAAATGATTTTTCAAATAATCACTTCAAGAGGTGTTAAATCAGGGGTCACCAATCTCGGTCCAGGAGGGCCGGTGTCCCTTTAGGGTTTAGCTCCAACTTGCCTCAACACACCTGCCTGGGTGTTTCAACTATACCAAGTAAGACCTTGATTAGCTTGATCAGGTGTGTGTGATTAGGGTTGGAGCTAAAATCTGCAGGACACCGGCCCTCCAGGAACAAGTTTGGTGACCCCTGTGTTAAATCATCAAAATAATAAAAACTTTAAAAGATTTAAGATGCGTATGACTGTTAAACAATTGTGTGGAAAGGGTTCGTTATGCACCACCAACCAGTTTTAAAGTTTGTTTTTGGTGCAAAAGACCATGGTGTACAGGTAAATTGGGTAAGCTAAATTGTCTGTAGTGTATGTGTGAATGAGAATGTTTGGGTGTTTCACAGTGATGGATTGCAGCTGGAAGTGCGTCCACTGCGTAAAACATATGCTGGATTACTGGATAAGTTAGCGGTTCATTCCGCCGTGGCAATTTTTTTTTTTTAATTAATTAATGAATTTGACAATATATTTGGTTCCTTATCTACGGAGGGTCAGAGAGCTCTCGGATTTCATCTAAAATATCAAAATAAGTATATAGCCTAGATAAAATATCTTAAGATGTGCGAAGTTCTCAGGGCACTGGAACTACATGAGGGTGAGGATTAATAACAAAATGCTTATTTTGGGGTGAAGACATCAGTTTAAGACATCAGACTAATTTTGCTTTCATATTGGGTATTTTTAAAATTACATTTGACGAGAGACCTTTATAGGAATTAAGCAGAAAACTGTATTTGTAAACGTACCTTCCTGCCATAACCACAAAATGTGGGATATTTTTCCCGGAAATTGAAGTCAGTCTGTCGCGTGTGGGAGGCACCGCTGGTGTATATGCGCGGGTATGTGGAGCCCGTGATCAGCGTGAATGCTTCATTACACGGGTTTCTATCGCAACTGGTCGAACGGACTTGAGTTCCGCGCGCTCTCTGCTTGTGTACAGCAGAACACGTTCGCGCGCCTGTTAACGGGAATGCGCACTGAACCACGCGAGTCTGTTCGCGACGGAAACCTACACAAACACAAACCGTGTGGACTCATACTTTGTTGTGTCGTTAATTTACGAGGCACGTTTTCACTGGAAAGTGCCAGGGAGGATTTTGAGGACGGCAGGTGCTTTAGTAAGTACACATTTAGCTTTCTTTTAGCTTGTTTGAATAAGAGATGCTGTTATGGAGTCTGCAACGTTACTGTTTGTGTTTACGCTTAGGCGCATTTGTTTACTGGATTCTTGTAACTTTTTACACATTTATGTTATGTAAATGTAGATTGTTTTAATATTTAAGTCTTGCATAGTGTAGTATTTTTAAGTACAAGACAAAATTTTTCTGTAGAATTAAAATATAGTAATCATGTAAATTAGCATACTACAGCCTCCAGCAAATTGAAACATACTAATAAAATACCACTAAACTGTGTGGTATGTATGTATGTATGTATGTATGTATGTATGTATATACAGGTCTGTAGCTAACCTGGTGAATAAGGTGGTTCTTTTTTTTTTTTTTTAAAGCAAACCTTTTGCAGTTATTCACCTTATTTTCTATTTGATTTTGAGATTTAAATACTGCAATAAGTAAAAAAAAAAATTCTGTATTAGCTTGTCGGATGGTCCTCATATCCACACTTTTTGAGGTACTAAAAACATTTGCTAAATATTTAGAATAAAGAAATATGAAAATGACAAAAATATATATACTTATTTTTATTATACATATGTATTACATCATATATCACTGGGAAAAAATGAGTCTGTTAAAGTTTTAAATTAATAAATAAAAAATCATTATTGCTTATTAGCATTTATTGGGCAAACAACAAACTGGCCAGTACATTCAACTTTCCTCAGGCAGAATTTAGCCATCTGAAAAATTAAAAAATAAAACAATAATATTAATATTGTAGAGTTTCACAATTTTGATCAATTTCAATTTCACAATTGTAGTCTCTTTCATAAAAAAGGTAAAAAGGTTAATGGATTACAATAGCCTAATTAGTATTCAAATTAACTTTCACATGGGCGACGTTTGGTGCTTTAAACCTTTTTATTGTTATTGTTATTTTTCAAGATTAAGGTCCAAAATTCAGAATAAACTTCACATACATCAGATTGTGTTTTATTGCTCAGCTGATGTTGGACATATGAAAAATAAATGTTTGCATTCATTGGAAACCATCTTTGATGGGTTATTTTCACAATTTAAGATGGCAGCAGTCAAAATATGACAAATGAGTTTATCAGTGGGGGGTGGGTCTTTCAGGCCCCTCCTCATACCCCCCCCCCCCCCCCCCCCCCGCACCCCAGGCTAAAGGCTGCATGTATTTATGCATGTATATATTTATGTATGTGAATACAAAAAGTTCAGATGCAAAAACATCTAAATGCAATGTCAAATTTCTATCGAAAATGAGCATTATTCCTAACCTCCTTTGTTTATATTAAGTTATTTCACTTTGAAGACCAGGAAAAGAAAATATTCTTTGGCATAAAAGAGAAATCAGTAAACCTGCTCACAGGTAAAATGCTCATTTTAGAAGAAAATTATAAGAACAGATATTTAATGCTTTATAAGTACAGACAAGATCTAGCCTTACAAAAATAAAGTGTAGAGAATGGAAAAAATGCTGCCTAGTCATCTGACACTTCTGTCTTCCGATCTGAACTGATGTTAGATTGTAATTCATCTTTAGGTATCATTGGTTATGTCAGTATTTCATGGTGTGTGGTCTCTCTATCTAGACGCAGTCAAAGGAAACTGACCATCGCCACCTCCTCATGATGCATATGAACAGCTTGCTAAATCGATGGAGTAAGTATTTATTTTGTTTACCTGTGAAATACATTTCCCTCTCTGCTTTTCTTGTAATGGAGAGGCGTTCTGTGAGCAAGCTAAATGCAGTTGTCTCTACTATTTTATTTAGTCTGAGAGGGATATGAGCCCTAGTAGCCTGGGTTAAAATTAGTTCCAAGTTAGGTCAGAAGAGTGGATTGTATTGCAGCGGAAAATGATAGGTTAGTTTACCCGTCTGCCCAGTTGTTACTAAATGACATGTGTTTGGAAATTTACTGCAATTGTCAAAGATAGATAACAATGCAAATTATGTAAAGATACTGAAAGATGGTGCTTTGTTTTTGTGTCGTCATCTGTTTGACTTGATTTCTCTCTAATTTGTTGTTGTTATATCTAATGAAGAGGATTATTATTATGTTGTGTGAGATGTGACACTTTCATTTGCATATTGCATAGGTGTGAAGAGTTGTTGAGAGTTCAGAGAGTACGGATAGAAATGTAGGCGATAAATCAGATATTTATATCTAGTGAGGTAACAGGCCGCAGGGTTTCTACCAGCACTGTCTGTTTAGCACAAACAGAAACATCACTGAAGGATAAGGCTGAATGAAAACTGAAATTGCAATAACCATGTCATTTGCAGTATAAACATCATGTACAAGAAAATCAGTGTTTGTGTTTGAGGTATGCAGCAAAATCTGTTGGTTTTGGACTTGCTTTGTGATTGGTTTTATAGAGAGAGGCCTGTTTTTTTTCAAATACTTGCACTTTTCTGTCAATGCATTATTTTGTTTCTTTTTTTGACTAACTTTTAGTAATAGCCCTTTAATACGTTTTTGAAAATGGAAAATTAGCTGTTAATTTACTCTGCCTCAGGACATAAAAATTAGATTTTTTTTTTTACCAGAAGAACATTTAGAACAATATATTTTTTAATGAGTCCATGGTCTTTGGTGATTCATGTAAAATCAATGGCTAACAGTACTTTTAAAAACATGTTAGCAACAATTTAACTGATCGCACAACCCTAATGGAGAAATCAGAGTCAGTATGGTAAACAACACTCTTATTTACTCTAATGTATTATAGTACTTAGTCTGAAATGAATTTAACTTTTCTAGTTCTTGTTACCTTGTCACATGTTTCTTTATTTTTAATTTGTTTTTCACATTCTGATTCAAATGTCTAATTATTAAATTGTTAATTTTTGGTAAATCAGAATTTCTGTTCTTTGAAATGGTTTATTTGCATTATGATGCCATTTTATTGTCATTCTGGCTTTATATAATGAGTGGCATAAAATGGTCTTAAAATGACAATAATATCATTTATTGCAATAAATTTTGGTGCAGTATATCGTGAAAAACTTTTAGAGGTAGTTTAACACAGGATAATCCTTTAATAAATTTTTGAAAAATGAAAATGTTGTGTTAATTTATTCTCCCTTTAGGACATAAAAATGTAACTGAGCAATTCCAGCGTTATGGGTGTGACATTTTCATAACATAAACATAAATTCACATAGAAAGTATACGTTAACATTATATTGAAACAGCTGTTTATATCTTCCAAAACAACCGACCACAGAGTTATGGGATCAGAAAAATATCAATCTCTAAACATATTTTATATTTTAAATGAGGAAAATAAACATGCGTTAAGGATGTGACAAAGTCTGGAAGTATACAGTAAACAACACGCTTTGTAGAAATTTTGTGAATTAAACTGCACAACCCAAAAGAAATAATGCTAATCAAAAGAATAAGTGTTGGCTCACTATAATATAAAAATAATTAATTTAATTTTATTTGACATTTTTGCATTTATGAGGAAAAAGCTTTGTTATAGATGTGACACTTTTATTGGTATGGATGTGATGGATATGAGATTTTTAGGATTTTGGTAAATCAAATATATTAGTTTGAAAACACTGAAAAAGAAATTTTTTTAGTGTATTTAAAGTACTATAACATATCATAAAATACTACACAAAAATGTAGAAATGCTTTCTGTATTTTGGTGAAAATATTTTTTTGTTCATGGCAAGTTTGACATTTGCATGAAATTGCTCAATTTTTTTTTCACCAGCAGACCATATAGAACAATATATTTTTAAATAAATCCATCGTCTTTGGTGATTCATATAAAATCAATGACTAACAGTACTTTGAATGTAAAATAACAACAACAACAACAACAACACAGGCAGAGCAAAATTAATGCCTGTGGTTGCTGACAATGTATTTAGGTTTTCTAAATATAAATTTTTTTTTGTAAATTTTTGTTTGTTCCCAAATGTACTTTAATTCAAGATGTCTATTTATACCTTGACATCATTTATCATTAAGTCCTTTACGACATGCTAATCAAGGCTTTGTTTATTATATAGAAAACACAATAGAAACAATAATATTGTGAAGTATTTAAAGGATTTGTAAAGTGCTTTAAAATGTGCATTTCTATTTTATTTTGACATAGTGTAGCCCCTACCCTTTACAAAAAACAAACAAACAGCCAATAGCGTTTTGTTTTATCACAGCTCTGCCAGTGAGAATGGTTGAGCTCAAGTGCATCAAATGAAAAGCAAATGATGTCAGATACTAGAGAGCAATTGATTAGTTATGATGTGATGAGAAACTGTAGTATGGGTTGATGACGTGAATAAAATCGTAGATCCATTTAGGTGACAAGTGACAAACTGCAAGCTTTACATGTTGATATCAGTTTTTTATCTTCTAAACTTGAATTTTGTCACTCTTTTGGAGCACATTAGCTTATAGATATCTTAAAATCGAACAATACTAATACCAACAACTTAACAAAACTTAATTTTAATGTCATGAGACCTTTAATAAATATATTTGAAGTTTTTAATAAATGTATTAAAAGGTCATTTTTTCCTTAAGTCTTAATGGTGACAAGACTTTTGTTTACACAGACAGTCAGTTTATTTAAATTCCATGTCGTTGCTAATGGGATTTGTCAGATTAGAAATATCTCAGACCTAAGGTCAGTGACTTTTTTGACAGCTCTGTGATGTCATCCAGTATTGGAAATGTATTTCATAAGCATAAATAATTTGAAGAGGATGTAAAATAGCAGGTACAGGTGGATAATAGCAGCTTTGCTAAAGAATGGCACAAAACATGCTCCATTTCAAGGTCAATGTATTGTTGTGCCTGTCAAAATAAATACATTTAAATTCAAATCATATCCAGGTTGTTCAACTTCACAGAAAAATCACTGTTGCCCATAACTTTCAGCAGTGAAATTTAAATGACACTAAACAGAACTAAACTGAACTTCAGCTTTGAAAAATGGACTAAATCAATTAACTAGAACTTTTATGTTAAGCTGCTTTGACACAATCTTGTAAAATCGCTTTAGTAATAAAGATAAATTGAATCGAATCGAATCACATTAATATTGGAAGGTCTCAATAGAAGGTTAAAGGTCACCTATGCAGGCTAAACAAAGGGAACAAGAGTTTCAATTCATTATGACTCTGAGTTTGCCTGCTGTGGTTGGGCAAGTCACCAGCACTCAAACACGCTGATAATCTCAGGTTTTTGCTAATCTCTCTTTTTCTTGATGTAATCAGGATAAATTGTCCCTCACGTTTCGCATATTACCGGTTGAAGCCGGTAAGTCTTAAAGTTTTGGCTCAGTACAGACGCATGCAAGTGGAGATCAGGTGTCTAAAATCCTCAAACAACGGAAAAGAGTCTCGTTTTCACAGGTGTCATTGACTTTTCTGCTTAGCCTAAGATTTTCCAAGTATATCAGTTTTTTTAGGCCACAATAATAGATGTTATTTTTTTGGGATTTGCCCTTTGTGATAGTTACTTGCGTTTTTTCCAAGGCTTTATTTGGTATGTCTCTCCTCTTAATGTTGATTCTGAGTCTGGTAAGACTAGGAGATATGTGCTGTTTTTCTCATGTCAGATGCTTTGGAAGCTTCACCTAGTGTGGAATTTCACAGAATGGTGTGTTAGAATGAACCACACCCAAGGTGTGTGTGGTTTTGGACATTGCTAATTAGAGCTGCACCATATTGGAAAAAATGGACATTGCGAAATTTTGTTTGTCTGCGATATGAGTATAATTTCACAACATTGACTTATAACTCTATTTGGAAAGAATTCATAGTTTTAGATTAATTGGGTTTATTTTGTAGGGAAATTATTCACGCATGACATAAAAAAGGAATTATGATCATAGATGAATACAACAGAACAAAGATACAAATGAAATGAAGGGTTTCATGGTTTTCTGTGAAATCTAACAGTACTTGGGTGTAAAAATTCAATAATCATATGTTCAACAACACCTCTTCATTCTAATAATTACATACAATTAAGCGTTGTGGAAGCTACAAACTTTATAACTTCTAGGTTTACATTTGCTTGAAATCCAAAGGTGTCAAAAGTACATACAACATATACTCAAGTAGAAGTACAGATACTCGTGTTTAAAATGACTGGTAGAAATTGAAGTACCGATTACACTTTTGTACTCAGTTAAAAGTAAAGAAGTATGGCCTGAAATATGTACTTGAGCAAAAAGTATTCATTACTACTACTTGCACCTCACATCAAGTATACATCTATACAAAACTTACATTTCTTTTTTTTTTTTGTAAAAATTCTGTTGCCAATTTTCAGCTGCAAAGTAGCCAAGCAACATGACTCTACAATATTGTCCAACGACACGGCTCTAAATGTTGCACTGTGTGTTATCACCTGAACACAAAATTGTATGGCTGTTAATAACAGCTGCGATACTTGTTCATAAACTCTTAAACACAGTTGTCATTCTCAGTTTCTGGAGGACCGCAGCTCTGCACAGTTTAGTTTTAACCCTAATTAAACACACCTGATCACACCTGAGTCCTTCAGGCTTGTTTTAGAGTATACCTCCAGGTGAGTGTGTTGAAGCAGGGTTGAAACTAAACTATGCTGGGTTGCGACACTCCAGAAACTGAGTTTGACACCCCTGCTCTAAAACGTAATTCTGTG